TCAGCAGGCTAGGATGATATAAAAGGATGGTGAAATAGTGCTTTTACCACAGCTGACAGCATGACAGTGATGGAAAGAAAGGCCAGGTACTTTCAGAAAAATACCTATTCCCATGATTTATTTTTAAACCTTTCCTGTGTTTTCAAAGTTCTAGTGTAAGTGCTAATGTTTATGCAATCAAAATATAAACTCTCATAAAAGATGTCTCGGGCTAGCACAGGTCTGTTAGGGAGGGAGAGAGGGAGGGAGGACTGCTGAAATGGTCCAGTAAGAATTTGGTAGTCTCTAGATGCCCTCTGTTGTAGATAACAATAGAAATTGGAATGACCACTGAAAGGTTTCATGACTTGCTGACTCAAAAATTAAACATCAACCCTTTATTATATAGAGAAATGATATACAAATATTTTGAATAATCACAAAGCTGTTTAATTACACAATAATATTTCAGAATTTAAAAAATCTACTAAAATAGGGCTATCAGGTCTGGGCTGCCAAAATCTAGACCAGGGGTCCCCAAATTTGACAACTTTAAGACCTGTAGACTTCAACTCTTAGAATTCTCCAGCTGTCTTAAAGTTGCCAAATTTGCGGGGCCCTGGTCTAGACAAACAATAGATGACAGTAAAAAAAATTCAAAAAAATATTTTGTAGCCCTACATTAAACAGCAATCTGCTGGACATATCCCCAAGGAATCAGGAAGGGTGGTAAATTGGAGAATTGGTTTAATTTCACATGACATGGATCCATTTAAGTCATTTACAATAATAAGGCGTTCCATCTTTTTTAGTATTATTTGCACCCATACATATTTATTTCCTCCATTTTTTTTCCTTTGAATAAAGTTCATTACTAGTGCAAGGAATTATGCCTGGAACTGCATTATAGTTTTAAAAAACAGGGATGGTACAATCTGATTCTCTTACACAATTATTATGTACATCACAGAAGCCAATTGTCTTTCCAAATAAAGGTTGATGTTATGAAAAGGCTCAGAAACTCTGAATACTGCGCGGTTGATTGTCTGTTGTCAGTATCAATGAGCAAGTGGTTATTTTGCCCCAAATGGCACAAACATGTAGTTTTTTTTCCTCTATCCTCTTCCTATAAATTGCCGTATTTTTTGCTCCATAAGATGCACTTTTCCCCCAAAAAAAGAGGGTAGAAATGTCTATGCATCAGTGCCAGTCCTTTGGTGAATAAAAGCCAGGCTGCAGTAGCAGGGTGCTTTTACAGTGCTGAACTCCATGTCTTCTGTCTTTGGCATTGACCACTTCTTTTGTCTCTTTTCCACAGTGCAGGAGTCAATAGGCAAAGCTGGCACATGAGAGAACACCTATCTGTGGTCCTCTCAGGCTCCACCTGATTTTTTTTTCTTGTTTTACTTCTCTAAACCTAGATGCATCTTACAATGCAAAAAATATAGTAATTAACTCTGGTCTAGAAAATAAGAAGTCATTGAATGTTTATGCAATTATCCATCTCAGCTTATTTCTTATAAAATGCCCCCTCTTCTACTTTTTCCCTTCCAATGTACCTAGAAGTGCTGGATTATTCCTCTTCTGCTTCCAGTTTATTTCCTTTCCTTCATCTCTATTTCTTTCCTTTAAGCTGATTTACACCATTTCTGAATTGTTCATCAAGTCTAAATTTCCTGGCAGTGGGGGTTGTGGTTTTTTTT